GCCGCGCCCATCGACGTTTCGATGCCCCCGCCCCTGCGCAGCGTAGTCTTCGCTTCGCCTAGTCGTCGGACGCGGGGCCGCGCGCGAGCGCCTTCAGTTTGCGAGATGGGAGCGCGTTCCAACCCCAATATCCGTCGTGGTAGAGAGGGTGGGGGTAGACGAGGCCGTCTGACTTGTTCGGACTGGCTACATTGACGCCTGTCCCTTCTCCTCTTCCTCAGCCTCCTCCTCATCCTCCTCCACCTCCACCTCAACCTCCTCCTCCTCCTCCTCCTCCTGCTCGTCCTCGTCCTCGTTCTCCTCCCCTCCCCCCCCCCTCCTCCTCCTCCTCCTCCTCCTCCTCCTCCTCCTCCTCCTCCTCTTCCTCCTCTCTCCTCCTCCCTCATCATCAGCAGCAGCAGCATCACCATCATCAGAATCATCATCATCATCATCATCATCATCAGCATCATCAGCATCATCAGCATCATCATCATCATCATCATCAGCATCATCATCATCATCATCATCATCAGCATCAGCATCATCATCATCATCATCATCGTCATCATCATCATCATCACCATCCTCATCATCGTCATCAGCATCATCATTATTATTAGCATCAGCGCCATCATCGTCATCATCATCAGCATCATCAGCATCAGCATCAGCATCAGCATCATCATGGTCGTCGTCATCTTCATCAGCAGCAGGAGCATCATCCTTATCATCATCAGCAACATCATCATCACCATAATCCTCATCCTGATCCTCATCCTCTTGAGCAGCATCATTAACATCAGCAGCAACAGCATCATCAGCAGCAGCATCCGCATTAGCATCAGCATCATCACCATCATCATCATCTTCATCATCATCATCAGCAGCAGCAGCATCATCGGCATCGCAATCAGCATCAGCAGCATTAGCATCATGATCCGCATCATCATCATCAGCATCAGCACCGGCAGCAGCAGCACCATGAGCATCAGCATCAGCCTCAGAATAAACAGATTCATCACTACCTTCGTCACAATCAGCAGCATCATCATCATCAGCACCATCAGCATCAGCATCATCAGAAGTATCGTCATCATCGTCAGCAGACCATCCTCATCATCTCACCATCACCACCATCACCACCATCATCAGTATCATCGTCATCAACATCATCAGCATCCTCATTATCATCAGCATCATCATCAGCATCATCATCAGCATCATCAGCATCATCATCAGCAGCATCACCATCATCCTCGTCAGCATCATCACACAAAGTCCTCATCCAAGTAATCATCATCAGCATTATCATCAGCAGCATTATCCTCAGCATCATGATCATGAGCATCAGCAGCAGCATCATCACCAGCATCAGCATCAGCAGCAGCAGCATCATCAGATGCATTCCTCATCATCACTAACTGACATCTCTCATTGACTGCTACTTCCCATCCTCAGTATCATCGTCCCTCCTCCCTCCTCCCTCCTTCATTCCTTCCCTCCTCCTCCTTCTCCTTCATTCCTTCCTCCTCCACCTCTTCCCCTTCCTCCTGGGCCTGAGCCTGACTTCCTTCCTTCATTCCTTCCTTCCTTCCCTCCTCCTCCTCCTCCTCCTTCCCCCGCCCCGCCGCAGGTCCCGAGAGCGCAGCGCAGACGCCCCCAGGTCGCGGGCACCGTGGATGGCGGCGCTGTGCAGGTCCTCTTGCACGGGTGTCAGGGTCTTTCGGAGGGCAGGATCGACGAGAATCGGATCGGGAAATCCGATCGGATCGACATGCGCAACAAAGCAGGCCGCGGCGGCACATCATCGAAATCGGATCGGATCGGCTGCGCCAGGATGCACAACAGCGCCGTGCGAGCATCGGGCCGCAGGAACGAATCGGATCGGGCCGGCCGGAATCGATATCGAATCGTATCGATCGCATCGACATGGAGCCCGCAGGGTCTCTATAGGGGGAGGTCGGCAGGTCTCTGAGGTACCTCGGAGCGCTCCGGAAGAGCCTCGGGAGGCTGTCGGAGGACGCCAGAGAGCGTCGAAGGGCTTCGGGGTCTGCGGGGGTTCCTCTGGGTTTCAGGCGGGGCCTCGGGGGTTCGGATGTCTTTGGAGGGCTTCGGAGTGTTTCCGAGGGGTTCGGAGAGCGTCGGACGGGTATGGGCGACTTCGAAGGGGGGAGGAGGAGGAGGAGGAGAAGGAGGAGGAGGAGGAGGAGGAGGAGGATGAGGAGGGAGGAGGGCGAAGGAGAAGCGAGGCAGGAAGGGCGAGGAGAGACCCTGTCGACTCTGCGCCAAAGCTTACCTGACCCATTAAAGCTAACGTGGCCAACGGCTCGGCCACACCAGTGTCACGCGCGCGCTGTAGCAAATGATGCACCAGAATGGGGCGACACAGCAACATGCAATGCAGAAGTGCCAACTGTATCGCTAATCCCTCTTCGTTTCCAATGAAGAATCTGGCCGGCGCTGGAGCGAGAGCAGCTTTCGCAATCATGGATGTGGCTGGCGCTGCGGCGAGAGCAAGAGTCTCAATCATGGATGTGGCCAGCGCTAGGGCGAGAGCTACTTTCGCAATCGTGAACGTGGCTTGGGTGTGGCCAGCGTTGAGACAAGAGCAACGTTCGCAATCATGGATATGGCTGGCGCTGGGGCGACAGCAGCCGTTGTAGTCGTGGATGTGGCTGGCGCTGAGGCGAGAATGTTGCTCGCATTCATTGACGTGGCCGGCGAAGATGCGAAAGCAAAGTTCGCAATCATGGATGTGGCCTGCGCTGCCAACCATGGATGCGGCCTGGATTAAGGCCAACACAAAGTCGATAATGGATGTGGCCACTGGTGAGGCGAGCGCATCCGTCGCAGTCGTGGGCGAGGTGTCCCACTGAACACGTGCATTGGCTCTACAATAGAGCAACCAGCAACGCCACTGAGACGAGCAGCGCCACAAACAGCAGCACCCTGCGCAGCAGCAGCAACACCAAAGCCAACAACAGCAGAAATAGTAGTGCAAGCCACACAAGCGACTCCAGCAGTACCTCTCTGACCAACACGACAGCAAACAGCACCACCACCACGCGCACCAGCACCAGCGACACTAGCAGCACCAGCATGACGACCACAACGAGCAGCAGCACCACCCAACACAGCACAAGCGCCACCAGCAACATTGTGGCAACGACAACAAACAGAAACGCCAAACGCAGAAGCACCAGCGTCACCTGCAGCGCCACTGTGACGAACTCGACTGGGAGCAACAACGCCACGCGAAGCAACTTAAACGCAACCAGAAGTACAAGTGTGACCAGTATGACGAGAAGCAGCAGCACTACACGCACCAGCGCACGCGCAAGGAGCAGCACCGCCGTGACGCGCACGACAGGATGCAGCAGCACGACACGCGCCCATACGAGCACCACCAACAGCACCACTGTAATCAGCACGACGAAAAGCAGCAACACCACGCGCAGCAACACAAACGCCACCAGCAGTTCCACTAGAACGAGCACGACGGCAACTAGCAGCGCTAGGCGATTCGCGCTGGACTGCGCGAGCGCTCCCCCCCGTCCCCTCCGCAGGCCAGCCAGCGGGGGAGGGGGCCTTCACTCCAGCGCAAAGCGTCATAGAACCAGACCGTTCAATTTTGCGCTGGGGACAGGGGCGCCCCAGAGCAGAAATGCGGAATCAGTCCGCGCGAAATCTTGCGAACCACACCGCGAGAGCAACTGCTACTCGGCCCAAGCCCAAACGGCGGTCGCTCCAAGGGAACGGGTTCCGCCAGCTGGGGCCTACAGCAGCAGCGCTCACGAGGGGCGCCGGGGCGAGCGCGAGGACGGGGTAGTGACTCGTCGTGGGCCCGCCGTCGGCGCACACCGCCTGCCGCCGCCCAGCCCGAACAGCAGCTCCCACGCCTAGGACCGGCGCCGTGTCCAGCCATCAGCACCACACGCGCAAGCAGCACCAGCGCCACCAGCAGTTCCACAACCAGAACGAGCACGACGGGCAGCAGCAGCACCAGGCCATCCGCGCGGGACTGCGCGAGCGTCCCCGTCCCTCCGCCGGCGAGGCCGGCGAGGGGGGAAGCGCGATCTCCCCGGCGCAGAGCGTCACGGCCCATGTCGTTCGAGTCTGCGCTGGGCACCGAGAGCGTCCCAGGGCACGGCCCACAGCCTGTCCCACAGGAGCGGGCTGCTCGCCCCTGGCGCCGCAGTCCACGCGGCCTGGCGGCGATGCGCACGACGGCCCGCGGCGCGTCGGCCAGCAACACGAGCGAAACGAGCAGTTCCACTGTCACCAGCCCGACAGGAAGCAGCATCGCCACCAGCAGCAGCAGCAGCAGCACAAGCGCCACCAGCAGCAGCACAACTGTGGGTAGCAAGACAAAGGCAGCAGCAAGAGTCCCACCTGCAGTGCCACTCCACCAAGGCCTGTCGGAAGCAGCAACACCACGCGCAGCATCAACGCCGCCAGCAGCAGCATCGCAAGCAACACCAGCGCCACCAGCAGCGAGGCCACCTGCAGCACCACTGTGACGAGCACCGCGAGAAGCAGCAGCACGACGCGCAGAAGCTCCAGCAACCAATAACACCACCTTGACCCACACACTGGGAACCAATAGTACGACGCAACCCGATATGCACCAACGAAGCTGCAGTGCACCCTCCCGTCCCCTTAAGTCCCTACCAGCATCCTGTTTCAGAACACGGAGCGCCCCCCTTGAAAAGCGAGGCCCCCGCGGGCCTGCAGCTCACTCGGGAGCTCCGTGGAAGGAGACCGCCCTCCGCCCCCCTTCGAGCGACGAGGTGGATGTGCAGTGCCCGAAGCGGTGCAGAGCGGCAGCCCTGCTCTCGGAGTTGGAGCGCCCCCTGCGTCGGGGCAGCCGCTGCACAGTGCTCGAAGGCTTACCCGAAGCAAGCCAGGTGCTGGGCGAGAGGTCCGTCGAGGGAAAGGAATGGCCCTCGACGTGCGCGACTGCTGCTCCAACTCACAAGAGCGGCAGTTGAGGATCCGAGCACTACCCCCCCACCCACCCCCGACCGAGAAAGTCGAGCACTGACCCGAGACGTAGCACGACCCCCTCTCCACGCGAGGCGACCCTTTGCACGAATGCTGCAGCCAGAGGAACCACCAGCTACGAGGACGAGCTGCTCCGCTGGACCTCCGGGGCACCCGCACGCAGGAAGGCGACGGCTGCGCGGGTCGCAGCCGCTGCCAGGGGGGCGCGCCGACCGCCTCCGCTGGACTCTCGTGAACGCACGAAGGTTGAAGTCGGGCCTGTCCCCCTACAGGAGGATTTTCCACGAAAAATGAAAAATACCCCCAACATGATCAAAACATAGTCCAAAAATAGTCTGGGGGTATTTTCGGGCTGTTCTTTTCTTTTTTCGTCGAAAATCCCCCTGTAGGGGGGGCCCGCCCGACATAAACGAAGGTGGCGACGACTGCGCAGGTCGCAGCCTCCCGGGCAGCCGCGAAGCCTCGCCTGCCTGCCTGCCTCCGCTGGGCCCCTCGGGCAGCCCACGGAGAGCGGCGGCGGCATCGCAGCTCGCGAGGCAGGGAGGCAGGGAGACAGGAGGCAGGAGGAGGGGGGACAATAGAAAGGAGGAGGAGGAGGAGGAGGAGGAGGAGGAGGAGGAGGAGGAGGAGGAGGAGGGAGGGAGGAGGAGGAGGAGGAGGAGGAGGAGGAGGAGGAGGAGGAGGGCGGAGGAGGAGGAGGAGGAGGAGGGGAGGAGGAGGAGAGGGAGGAGGAGGATGGAGAGGAGGAGGAGGAGGAGGAGGAGGAGGAGGAGGAGGAGGAGGAGGAGGAGGAGGAGGAGGAGGAGGAGGAGGAGGAGGAGGAGGAGGAGGAGGAGGAGGAGGAGGAGGAGGAGGAGGAGGAGACGCGCGAGCAGTGCTCTAGTCAAAACGATAACCCAACACAGGCGGGTGGGAAATAAAGCAGCCCCACCTGTATTGCAGAATCATCTCGTGTGCACGGCGATGCAGTCATCTTTGCCGCAGAATCGCCAAACTGGCGCAAGTGCGCAAGGTCGTTCGCATCGAAAGCGCTATCCTCATCTTCCTCCTCCCCTGCCTCCCACTACCTATCCTCAACCCTCATACTAAAATCATCCTCCACCTCCTCCACCACACCACCACATCCACATCCTCTTCGTCCGCCCTCCTCTGCGGTGTGGCATCCACTTCCAGCTTGTCTTGCCGTGCAGAGTTCATGCTCTGGCTCACGACCTCCGGCACGCGTCTGGCCGCCTGGTGAAAGTGGGAGCCCACCATGGATCAGAAGTGCGGCGTGCGTGCACTGCTCCGCATATATGAAGGGGCCCTGGGACACACAAATAAATACACACAAATAAACATGTTCCCCATATGTTCCCATATTTTCTGGGTTTTTGTCTTCCCCCCCACTTCCCATATTTTCCCATATTTTCTGGGGAATCGACGATTAATTGTGTCTATGTGTTTTTTCCCCTCCTGAATATATTCTGCCTGGGCCCTCCTGGGGCTTCCTGGGAGCGCCTGGACCCACGGGGGGGGGAGGCACAGACCCCCCACAGCGTCATGATCTCTTCATGACGTCCACCCACAGAGGTTCCGACCCATTCCCCCGGACCGGCGTTCCATCCCCTGAGTCGTTTTCGGACGGTCCCGAGGCCCGGGAAGGCCCCTGGAGGCGGAAAATGACGGAAAGCCTCCCGTCGTGGTGCCGTCATGGCTCGAGGGGAACTGGGGGAGCCTCCTGGGAGGGCATTCTGCACGCGAGAGCCGCCCCGTTAGGTTATAGCACGCCTTGCTTCGCGACCGCCGGCTGGGCTCGTGTGCTGCCAGCCAAGCTCTGGCTCCCCGCACGGCCATGGACCCGTGGCGTCCGTGGCGAGGGGGCGGAGTACCCGCGCCGGTCCGTGGCCCGTCGAGAGCGGCCGGGCTGTTTTTGCACAGCTGCGGCGTGGACGGAGTGGCGCCCATTGTCCGTGGCCGAGAGCCGCCTTGGCGGCGCGCACAAGGGGGTGGGGGGAGGGGGGAGGGGCTTCTTAGAAGCACCCCTGCTTCTTAGAAGGCGCCGGCCTTACATCTATAGATAAAGGCCCGCGCCTTCTAAGAAGCAGGGGTGCTTCTAAGAAGCCCTCCCCCCTCCCCCCACCCCCCTCTGCGCGTGGCTGACCGCCCCTGGACACCATGGGGCGCGCCTGGAGGCCACAGGGGCCGGGCGACCCCTGCTTCCGGGCCCCCTCCGGTGGGGCTTCCTGGGAGCGCCCGCCATGGGCCCCACGGGGGGAGCCCTGCGGGGAGGGCCTCCCGGAGCCGCCCGTGGAGCTGCCGAGGGGGAGGAGGAGGAGGGGGTGGAGGACAAGCTAGGTGCGCTCGCGTCATATCTGACATCCTACCCCTCCATCCCATCTCTTACCATGGCGTAGATCCCCTCTCTACTCGCACAGTCGGATGTCGAGCAGGGCAATGATCCGGAAAGGGTACGCGATGCATTGTAGAGCACGGCATGGCATGGCGTAGAAGAGCACCGCAAAGCGTAGTATG